AGGTGTTATCAGGTGTGAAAAAAGGGCGTTATCAGGTGGCAAGAGGTGTTAAGGAGGTGAGCGTTGAATGTGTTAAATATATATATATATATATATATATATATATATATATATATATATATATATATATATATATATATATATATATATATATATATATATATATATATATATAAACCGTTAAAATATGTTAAATAAAAAAGTAAAAAAAAAAAAAATCTATTTATTTATTTCATGTGTTTTATTTAAAAAAAAAAAATGGTTTGAGACAAAGAATCCGTTCGACATTCTGTACAATATATAAGAGAACAAGAGGAAAACTAAAGATACGCAGACGATTTGGTTCGTTGTTTGAAACAACACAGCGCAGACGCGTAACATAACTTAGACGCGACTTTGTTGTGGAAAGAGGTTCCGCTCAATATAATAAACGATCGGGGTTAATCTGCAAAAGAAAAACAAAACAAAAATATAAACATAACAAACAAAATAGAAGGAGTGGACGAGTTTGAAAGACTGTATCTAAATGGGTATTGACAAAGGAAAGTTTAAGGTATATTTTATGTTTAGTTAATGAAAATAATTTTAAATAAGTAAACAATAAAAAAAATTGATTATTAAATTGCAATATGGCGCGTACAAAAAAAATATCAAAAAGTGAGTTTAATGAATTATACAGAATATACCATCGATACGGTGGAAAAATTGCCAATCAAGTGCGTCAATTAGGTCGTCAGCCACGCGTCGTAGTAAACAAGATGGATCGTAAAGAAATTGCAAATCGATTAGTAAAAAAGCTGGATTGCAAAACGGTTTGGTACGAAAAACGTGCAACAAAACAAAAGAACAAAAATACAAAAAATAATATTAAAAACGGCGTGGTAGGAAACCTAGTACATAAATGGGTATTAACAAATAGGTAAAAAAACATACTGCTTAAAAAATAAAACCCGTTAATATGATGTTTTTAAAAGAACTTTATAATTATTTACATTGCTAAAAAATAAAGATTTAGTTAAAAAAAATATGTTTTTATGTTCGAGGTTTTTTCTTTATTAAAAGATTAATAAATAAAATATATTAGTATTGTTTAATTGTCTTTTAAAAAGAAAGTTCGATATTGTTTTTTTTTTTTATCAATAGTCAAAAGAAGATAATATCGTATACATATTTTTTCTAAATATTCTTGCATTTTAGCGTGGACTTTGTAGTTTTTTTCTGACGACAATAGTGATTTTTCTAATATTAGGCGACAATTTAGCCATGCTTTTTGTGCAACTTTCATGTTAGCATAATTTATATCCATATTTTTTTTACTTTTGCTATAAAAATAAAAATTTTTTCTTTTATTTAGATAAAAAGAAAAAACACTCTAAAAAACAATAAAAAAACAGTAAAAAAAAGCTCTAGAAAAAATTACGCAAGGTTTGGACAATGCAAAAAGATGTAATTACAAAAGTTAATTTAATTCATAATTTAAAAATGTTATGTTAAAATAAAAAAATATTAAATTAATAAATATCGAAATAATGTTCTAGTATTTTTGTGTCTATAATTGCTTGTTTTTGTTCACTTGATAAAAGTGCAAAATTTTTAAAAAGTTTTTTTCGAGCTTCTTCACAAGAATAACCTAGACGTCTAATAGCCAATCATTTGAGGGCATTTTTTGTAATTCCAAATCATATTGCAGTAATGATTGCAATAACCCCATTGTCATACAGCATAAACTGTTTGTGAAATCGATTTTATTAAATAAATCCATTTTTTTATTTATCTAAAAAAAAAGTAAAAAATTAAAATTATTTTTTATTTTATATATTTAGATGAAAAAAAGACAAAATAGAAATACGCATTACTAAAAAACCATACGAAAAACTCGAAAAAAGGTAAAACGAAGAAAAGGATTGACTTCGTTAATAACAGTGGACAATGCAAAAATGATTGGAAAATTTGCAATTCAAAATGCTGACGGTTTAGGAACTTTGGCCAATTCGCTTTATAATAAAATTAAAAGAAAAAAGAAAGAAACGCTAGCTGTTTAAATAAAAACGTCGCCGGTTATAAATGATACTTCACAAATGTCATACGAAGAAAAACAAGCCTATTATAAAAGTTTGTAACAAAAAAAAATTATTTTTTATAAAATAATAAAAAGCATACAAATTATTTATTTAAAATTTAAATCGTCATCTGACGTTTCCTCTTGTTTGATCAACTCGTCTTCTGATATTCTTTCTTGTTTTAAGCGAAACAGCGGATCGTTATTATCGCAAAATGGCTTCTTTTTTTTAATTTTGTTTTAATTTTATCGATTTGTTCCATGTTTCTTTCGTAATTGACTTTTTTTTCTTTCATGTGCCCATGACACCTTTCTTAGTAATTGTTGATATCTTTTTTTGAACACTCTGATTTGAATTTGGTTATTTTTAAGATTGGTCAAAAGTTTATTGATTTGCTACAACGCGCTTGTGTTTTCAAAAAGTCGACAAATTACATTATCAGGACTTTATTCAGTACTAATAAAAAAAATTAAAAAAAATAAAAAAACTATACAAGTAAATACTTTGTTTTTATGGTAAATAAAAAAACACTTACGTAATGACATAGTAAGCTTCAAGTTCGCAACGAAAATTAATCAAAAGGTTGGTAGCTTCTTCTTAAATTGTTTTTGCGAATTTAATATGTATTTTTAATAATTTTTCCTTATCCGTCTCTAAATTTGATAAATTTTCCTTTTTCGTCTTTGCGTTTATATTTTATTCTTTTTAAAAAAAAAAATTATAATAGACTTTTTTTATAAGGTTTGATTATAACTGGATTTTAGTTATTAAATAAATAAAAACAGTTTCATAACATCGTGGGAAGGTTTTTTAAAAAATCATACGATAATAAAGTTTCTTTGAAGAAAGCGCTATTTGATGTAATAGTACATTTAAAAATATTTTTATATTTTTCGTAAATAGTTTTTATTTGCTAGATTAGTAGCGCCTTATCACAAGATGTTATTTAATTGTATTTTTTTATTTGCGTACCCTTTAATACGTTTTGAGGATGAAGCAAAAAAAACATCTTATGATGTTTTTTCAAGACAGTTTATTTACATAACCTTTAATACATTTTTGAAGGTGAAGCAAAAAAAAATATCATATGATGTTTTTCAAGTCAGTTTTTATTTGCACGCTTTGTTTGTGGTGTAAATAAATAAAGGGTATTAAAAGACGAGCTTTTTTATTAAAAAACAGTAATGGCAACGCTTGGCAATAACAATATCAAATTTTTTTTTTTTAATGTTGATTTAGGTGCCCCAAGAAGTCCTTACGGTCTTATCACAGAACACCGCGGAAGAGCATTTAATAGGAAGTTTTCGCCTCCTTCCCAACCGATGTCGCAAAAATTGTTCAGAGGTGGGGTTTGAACCACGGATCTAACGTTTCTGAAACAGGTGCGCTACCACTGCGCCACGGCTGCTTTAATTAAAAAGTGTAGTTTATAAACTAGTGAAACATTTGTCGTTTTGCTGGAAAGAATTTGCAGATTTCTTATGTTTACCTGTAAACACAAAGTATAACATAAGGAAAACATATTACAATGATGAAGCGAAAATGTATGCGCTGTTAAAACATTAAATTTTATTTACTTATGTAAATTGTTAAAACATTGTTAAAACATTAAATTTTATTTATTATACAATTAAATTTTCCTTTTTCGTCTTTGCGTTTATATTTTATTCTTTTTTAAAAAAAAAATTATAATAGACTTTTTTTATAAGGTTTGATTATAACTGGATTTTAGTTATTAAATAAATAAAAACAGTTTCATAACATCGTGGGAAGGTTTTTTAAAAAATCATACGATAATAAAGTTTCTTTGAAGAAAGCGCTATTTGATGTAATAGTACATTTAAAAATATTTTTATATTTTTCGTAAATAGTTTTTATTTGCTAGATTAATAGCGCTTTATCACAAGATGTTATTTAAGTGTGTTTTTTTATTTGCGTACCCTTTAATACGTTTTGAGGATGAAGCAAAAAAAAACATCATATTTTTATATTTTTCGTAAATAGTTTTTATTTGCTAGATTAATAGCGCTTTATCACAAGATGTTATTTAAGTGTGTTTTTTTATTTGCGTACCCTTTAATACGTTTTGAGGATGAAGCAAAAAAAACATCATATGTTTTTTCAAGACAGTTTATTTACATAACCTTTAACACATTTTTGAAGGTGAAGCAAAAAAAAATATCATATGATGTTTTTCAAGTCAGTTTTTATTTATTCGATATTGTTATTGCCAAGCAACGCTTGGCAATAACAATATCGAATTTTTTTTTTTTTAATGTTGATTTAGGTGCCCCAAGAAGTCCTTACGGTCTTATCACAGAACACCGCGGAAAAGCATTTAATAGGAAGTTTACGCCTCCTTCCCAACCGATGTCGCAAAAATTTTTCAGAGGTGGGGTTTGAACCACGGATCTAACGTTTCTGAAACAAGTGCGCTACCACTGCGCCACGGCTGCTTTAATTAAAAAGTGTAGTTTATAAACTAGTGAAACATTTGTCGTTTTGCTGGAAAGAATTTGCAGATTTCTTATGTTTACCTGTAAACACAAAGTATAACATTAGGAAAACATATTACAATGATGAAGCGAAAATGTATGCGCTGTTTAAACATTATTTATTGCAGATGCGATATTCCAATGCAAATGAACAACTAAAATGTTTATATAATCGATTTGTTAAATGGAAAAATGATGTTTTTCACTCGATACAAAATTTTTTTTATTGAGCAAATATATATAAAAAATAAAACTTATTTTCTTACTTAGCCAATTATTTAACTTATTTAATTATTTAAATTATTTAACTTATTTTAAACCAATTTATCATAATCTTAATAATCATCATAAAAAAATTTTTTAATAAAAAAATTCTTACAAATCTATTTTTTTTCTTCTGTAAAAAACTTTTTTATTACAATGTGTTTTTTATTGTTTTATACAATTATATTCTTTGCTCATTAGTTGAACCAAATCCACCATTTCCTCTTTCTGAGCATGTCATCTCATTTTCTGGAACTGCAATAAAAAGTTTGGGCGAAAAACATTGTAAAAATACTAATTGAGCAATAGCCAAATCTGTAGTAATTATAAACTCACTGTCGTTATTGTTCTTTAACAAAACACTCATTTCTCCACGATAATCGTTATCAATAACACCACCTACTACTGTTATATTTCGAAGAGCTAATGATGATCTCGATAACAATTGTCCAAAGCACCCAACGGGTACTTGCATTCGAATACCAGTAGGCACTTTAACAGTTGCTTGCTTTAATAAATACACGTTTTCCATAGCAAAAATGTCAATTTAAAAAAATAATAATAAAAAAACAATACACTCTAAATGTCTAAAAAAATGTTTCTTTATTAAATTTTGTTATATTTTTTCATTTTCTTCTTTTAACTTTTATAGTTTCTTTCTGGAGCGTCAACAATTTCAGCATTTATTGTTCGATAAGTTTTGATTTCTTCGATTTTTCTTTGATAAGTTTCCATTACTTTTTCATGAGTTTTAATGAGTTCTAAAATATACAAATTTAACTCTATATTAATTTCTATACAGATACGCTTTTCGTGTCTATAAACATCATCTTTTGAATATACGCTCATTTTTAGTTTTTCTTTATCTCTATATTTAAGTTCCAAGTTTTGCATCCTCAAAGTTTGTGCTTCCGTGTTCTCCATATTATTTTTTTTTAATCTAAATAACCCTAAAAAAATTAATTTTTTTTTAACAAAAAAAATAAAAAATTAATAAAATGTCCCTTATATTAAAAAAAAAACACACACCAAAAAAGCAATTTATTAAAAAAATATTTTTTTTAATTTAATTGCAAATACATATAACTAAGGTTAGGCATATTTAAAATTTCAGTCAAAAATATATCTTTACAGCTTCGTAATCTACAATGTTTGTTATGATGTTTTGTATCTTCTATTTGACAATCGTCAAGGTAACTATTAGCACGCACTAAAGAATTATTAAATAATTCAATCATATCATAATGAAAAGCGCTGTTCTTCCAAATCAGTGGGCGACAAGAAACTAGTTGTTAATAACTCATAATGGGACTTTTTTTTAAATTAAATTTGGTGCAGATAAATGTAACGAAATATCAACCATAACTTTTCATATTTGTAATACGCTATTGGACGCACATAAAATGCTTTTCTATGCGAAAACTCTGTAGAAGCTTTTTGTAATTTTGTAAAAATTGAATGGTTTAATGATTCCCAAGTGGGCGCAAATAAATTAGTTAAAGTAAAATACGGACTTGGTGCTCTTTCTTTTTCCAAACTGCAATCTAACTTTTCAACATCTTCATAACTCATTTTACCATACAAAAAATACTTCAAAATACGACATTGTCTTAACAAAGCGAGTGATATATATTGAACATAGTCTTTCATGTGCTCTTCCATCTTTGCATTTCGCTCGCAAGTAATCAATTGTTTTACGTAAATCCAGTCGTCATGAATTCCATGTTTGTTAAAATCCATATCGTTAAAGTCCATATCGTGTTGACAATTCAATATAAAATCTTTTATAAAATCCTACACGTCAGCTGCATACCTCCATTCTTGACTCACATTCAAACAACGTTTTAAAAGTATTTGCTTAAACACACTATTCGATTGACCTTTTACTTAAAACATAATTTTTTTTAACTAAAAAAATGAGTAATCTTCTTTTCTTTTTTTCAATTCCAAATCGCTTTCCGTCTTGATTTTATTTTCCAAATTGTTGTCTAATTCTGTTATTTCATATCGAAAGCTAGTAAACTGTTGAATATATCTTTTTTTTCCTGTCTCATCAATAGCATAAAATAATATTATTTCATTTCTTACAGACATTTTTTAATCTTTAATAAATAAAAAAAATATTGTTAATAATTGTTATCATTATTATTATTGTAATAATTGTTATTATTATTATTATTGTAAAAATAATTGTTATTAAGAAAAAAATATAGTTAAAAAATTAAAAAAAATAGTAAAAAATATTTTAAAAAAACGAAAAGAAAATTGTTTTTTTTTTGTTAAACATTTATAATTTTTTTGAAACTCTTTAAGAGCTGTTTTTTTTGTAATAAATATTGTAGTAAATAAATAAAAAAAAAGTTGTAATAAATTTGTTTTAAATAAAAAAAACTATTGTTAAAATAATTGTTATGAAAAAATATAGCTAAATTAAAAAAAATTAGTAAATATTTATTTAAATAAATGAAAAAAAAAAAGCATTGTATTATTTGCAATAAAGATAAAAAATATTTTTGTAGGCTTCAGCATGAAAATCAGAATTTGTAATCTTTTTTAACATTAGCAATGTTGTCGAATAATCTGTCTACAAATAATTACTATGCCCTATCTTCTCATATTTTGTTTGTCGACAATATTCTGCAGCTATGTCATAAATGCATCGTGACTCGTCAATCAAAATAAAATATTTTATAAAAGAACAAGGCTCATACGAACAGTTTCCAAATCCAACACACAACTCGCTCGAATGTGACATTAAAAATCTTTTTAATGCAAAAAACATTTTTTTATTTTTTCTAAAAAAATTATAATTTTATGTAAAACACAAAAAAAAAAAAAAATATTTGCAATACTAAAAAATTATTTAAACTTAATTTTTAAGAGAAACAATAATATGTATTAGCTATAACAAAAGATTAGCAAATAAAAAACTTGCTGTTTTTCAAGGCTTCTTTTTTAAAAACGTTTTATTGTTCAAAAAAAACAAACAAAAAAAAGTTTTTTAAATTTAAGCTAATACTTAAAGCACAACGTTTTTCATAAAGGTAACAAAGAAAAGAAAAAAAACTTTGTAATTGGCAATTTAAATATGGATTGCTTACGATATAGCGAAAACAACAAAATAAAAAAATTTTATGATGAAATATTTGTACCAGGAGCAATACCGCATATCAACCGTCCTACTCGAATAACAGAAAACTCAACCACCCTTATAGACAATATTTTAACAACAAATATATATAACAATGACATTCAAATAAGCATTATAAAATCAGATATATCAGACCATTTCCCCATTTTTCTAACAATTAACACAATTTCAACTCCTAACATTAATAAAAGTAAAACTATAAGAAAACGTATTTTTAACAAAAAAAATTTAGAAGCATTTAAATATCAATGATCATTGTTAAACTGGAAGCATATAAATTTTAATGAAGACATAAATGCAATCTATAATAAGTTCTTTAATACATTCTTCTCGGTGTACGATGCGAATTTTCCCGTTTCCGAAATAACCTGAAAACCAAAAACCTTACGTAGTCCTTGGATTACCAAGGGTCTCAAAAAATCTTCAAAAATTAAACAAAAATTGTATATAAAATATTTAAAAACAAAATCTCATGCTAATTTACGCATATATAAAAAATTACAAAATTCTATTTGAAAAAAATTCGCAAAAACCTAAAAAAAATTATTACTCTAATTTAATCACTAAATATAAAAATGACTCAAAACAAATATGGAAAATATTGAAAGAAATAACGGGAAAACAGAAAACCTGTTTAAATTTCCTTCCGAAAATGATTAAGATAAACAATGTATGTGTATATGGACCAAATGAAATTGCAAAAGAGTTTAATAATTATTTTACTGATATCGGAAGTAGGTTGGCTGATTCCATCTATAAATATTTCCTATAATGATTTTTTGACAATTTCAAATAATTTACTTTCTTCCCATGACTTATTCCTAGACTTATCGATTGAAGAGTTTGAAAGAGCCTTCAAATCTTTAAAAAAAACAAAGCATTCGGTGCGGATGGAATAAACGGGAACATTATTATAGATTGCTATGAAAGTTTGAAAAATATTTTATTTAAAGTTTTTGAAACATCTATACAACAAGGGGTTTTCCCTGATCTATTAAAAATTGCAAAAGTTAGTTATCCCGATTTATAAAGAAGGAGAAAAATCAAACGTAAATAATTATCGCCCTATTTCTATCCTTCCTACGTTTTCAAAAATATTAGAAAAAATTATCTTCGAAAATACATACAACTACCTGGTTTCAAATAATTTACTATATAAAAGTCAGTTTGGCTTTAAAAAAAATAGTTCAAATGAACAAGCCGTTATTCAATTTACACGTGAAGTCTCAAATTCTTTTGCTAAATCACAATATACACTTGGTGTTTTTGTCGATTTATCAAAGGCTTTTGATACAGTCAATCATGATATCTTACTTAAAAAACTTGAGTTCTACGGAATAACTGGTAAAATGATCAAATGATATAAAAGCTACTTGTCAAACAGAAAGCAACTCGTCTACCACGGAGAAGAATTGCTTCCTATTGATCTTCAAAATAAAACATTAATTGAAATAAAATGTGGGTTCTATCCTTGGCCCACTTCTCTTTTTAGTATACGTCAACGATCTAAACAAGGCCTTGAATCTTATAAGCATCATGTTTGCCGACGATACCAATTTATTTTTGTCAAACAAAGACATTAACAAACTTTTTTTAGATATGAATAAAGAACTTAATCAAGTTTCTAACTGGTTTAAATGCAATAAATTAACCTTAAATATTGAGAAAACAAAGTGGATCCTTTTCCACTCTTTAACAAAAAAACGCTTTTTGCCTTATGATTTACCTAAACTTTATATTGACAAAGTAGAAATAAAAAAGGACTCTGTTTTAAAATTTCTAGGTATTTATCTTGACGAAAATATGACATGGAAAGCTCATATTGATTATATATCAACAAAAGTTGCGAAAAGTATTGGTATCCTCTATAAGGCCAGAAATTATCTAAATAAAAATAATTTAAAACAACTATACTACTCATTTATTTATAGCTATATAAAGTATGCAAATATTGCCTGGGGAAGTACAGGTAAAAGTAAGTTGCAACGTCTTTACCGCCATCAGAAACATGCAATGCGAATAATATATTTTTTAAATCGTTTTTCAAATACAAAACCTCTATTTAAAGATATGAATGTATTAAATGTTTATGAACTTGTTCAATATTTTATGTTTTACGTTTTGTTGTATGAATAACCCCTTATTTCATGTTTTTAAAGATCTATTTACCTTTAAAGTAAAGAATAAGTATAGTTTGCGAAATAATAACTATTTAAAAGAACCCTTTTGTCAAACAAAGTTTAATTAATTTTGTATAGATTATCGAACACCTTATATCTGGAATAAAATTGTACAGCCTAATTTAGATTCATCTATCTCTTTTTCTTTTTCTAAAAACAAGTTAAAGAATATTATTTTTTCTACGGATAATATATTGAGAT